AATTGCTTCGTTTCCTTTAGATTCCCGGTGAACTGAGCATAAGAAAGTTCCGCAACTTCTTGAGAGTTGAATCCAGAACGGGATAGGTCAATGATCTGAGCCGTGTTTTGCTGAATTGCCGAGTTACAACCGTCAATAACCAAACAAATTTGCTCAATCGAGGATTGAAGCTTCATGACCTGATCTTGAAAATACAACTTGACATTGTTGAGATCAAAATAAAGACCCTTCATAGATTGGATGTCCTTCACGTTGTCTGCAAGATGCTTAAAAGTCCTCTTTATAGATTGCAACTCGGTTTGAAGATGCGAGAGTTGAGACTTGCTGTTGGCCAACCCGGTCTTGATGGAAGAGAGTTGATCCGCAAGTTGCGCCACCTTAGTTTCGATTGGGTTTCTAGCGTCGTCCGCCGGAGCAATAGAGGGGGAAGAGACATGTCAAGAAAATTTTGAGGTTTACAACAAATAAAGGCTACGCCTTGACCAAAGAGAAGAGTTTAACTGAGAGGAAGGGGTTTAAAAAATGTTTGGCTAGCAGCAAAAATTTCTTGAGTAAAGGAGTTAAGAGAGACTCCCGGAATATATGGCGAAATAATTGTAAGAACTAAGGTCGACACAGCCCCAGACAAGCTAATAATACTGATGATCCTCAGTACACGCAATGGATCAAGCAAGTATCAACTCTTAGTTTCTTTATTTTTTCTAACTAAAAAGGCTTCTTTATTGCTTATTTACGAAGAATGGATGAATGTAAATAATACAAAGATTTCACCATGAGGAAAGAAACCCTCATGACAAATACGAGTTCTTAAATATTAAAGGCTAGATACAGATAGTTCTAGAATTTGTACTAACTTGTTATAGATTGATTCTTGTTTCTTTGTTCTTTTCTTTTTTCAGAAAGGAAATAAAATTTATTTTCTCATCTTAAACTCATTTTCTTACCTTTCTTGCAAAATCTTCTTGATTAACCTCCTGGTTAAACTTTTCCACTGATGTAATTCTCATAAATATTTTTTGAGTTCTGCTGTGCCTTGTGCCTACTCGTCACATGTGAGGAGATATATCATACAGGTATGTACCAAGTAAGCATATAAATCACACAGGTCAGTGCCAGCGACCATACAGTGAACTAAAGGCATAAAGATGTGTAATCTTTGTCCATCCGAGCTTTTTGAGATTCAATCCACCTCTACAGGTGGTTTGAGAATTTTTGAGCTAGGTCTTGAGACAAAAAAGAAAGGGGCTTGGAAAAACGACTCCTAAAAATTAGTCGACGACTCCCGTTTTGGTCGGGAGGTCGTCAAACGGGAGTCGTTCTTCCAATTCCCCCAAAAAAAAGGGGAGTCGTCGTCCTAATTTCAAAGGCGATTTTTTAATTTTTTTTATTAAAAAAATGGGAGTCGCCCGCCCAAAGGGCGGGAGTCGTCGTACCAATTTAGCCAAATATTTTTTATTTTTTTTTCATTAAAAAAATTGGGAGTCGTCCGCCTAAAGGGCGGGAGTCGGCCTCCCAAATTTATCCAACTAATCTAATTTTTTTTTATTAAAAAAAAAGGGAGTCGTCCGCCTAAAGGGCGGGAGTCGGCGCACCAATTACAACCAATATTTTAACCTTTTTTCTGCATTAAAAAAACGGGAGTCGTCCAACTCAAAACAGGAGTCGTCAACCTCTAGCGACCCTAAAAACTCAAAAAAAAGTTCAGCCACTGGGGCCCCGCCCCAAAGGCACTTTATCAATGATTAAAAATTAGATTCATTGAGAAAAACAAATTCAAGAAATAAATGAAATAAATTGATGAGATGTTGAGAAATGTAAACAAAAAAACAATGAGAAATGTAAGAAAAAAACAGGGATAAAAGAATTCAATTGATGAGAAATATAAGAAAAAAAACATGGTAAAAAAGGACAAAGAGGAAAAAAATCAAAAACTAAAAAAGACACAGGATAAAAAAAACCCTAGTAGTGTTTCATTGGATTTTCAATTTTCCTCTCTACAGTCAATTGGAAACAATCAGAAAAGATGGCTTCCCATCCCCAAGCCTCTTCTGATGCCTTTTCTTTCCAACCCTTCATGAGCTGAGGGGCCGGAAAGAGTCTTGGGTTATGTAACTGCAAAGGGACAAAATGAGAAAATTCATATAGAAAAGCAATAAAAATTGGGGGGTTGGAATTGGGGGGGCAGAAAGAAGGGAGGCAGGTCTGGCAAAAGGTGGTAGAAAAAAGGGGAGTGATAATCACACTCCACCCCCCTTCGCACACACACTCCAACACTCCCTTCTCTGAAGGGAGTGTGGGACCACACTCCAATTGAAATTGGAGTGCGGGTCCGCACTCCAACCCTCTGCGCAGGCATTCCCCCAGCAGGTTGGCGTGCGGGTCCGCACGCCAATTTCAATTGGTGTGTGATGCTGCACGCCAGCCGTTAAGGGAGGTTGCCTCGCTTGCAGGCAGGCGTGCAGCCAGCAATTCCATATGCCTCGACCTAAACCCATATTCCTATGGGTTTAGGTCAAGGCATATCCCATAGGACCCAGGGATGGGTCCTATGGAGAGACGGTCTGACCGGTTCAAACCTTGAACCAACATGGGTTCAAGGTTTGAACCCTGACAGCCATCGGCCAAGGTTCAAACCTTGGCCGATGGCCTTGAAGATCCCTGTAGGACCCAGGCCTGGGTCCTACAGGGATTCACTTTGTTTGAACCCTGATGGCCCATAGTCCAGCTCATCGGGAGGGTTTCCTCCCAATGAGCTGGTACATAGTCCAGCTCATCGGGAGGAAACCCTCCCGATGAGCTGGACTATGGGCCATCGCGTTTCAAACATAGTGAATCCATGTAGTACCACG